CGATTCACGCGTTTGGGCACAGCAACCAAAAATCGTTGTAAAAAAATTCATAAAGCGTACCCACTTATTTTTTGTCAATGAAACTACCTTCTTTTCATATCATGTTTCTTAGCAAACCTTTTATTATTGAATCGTGGCTTTAACCCCTTTTTTCTAGAATTTCTGGTTTTTTGAGTTATGACAGTATTGAAGTAAATGACCGATATGTATTTATTTACATTAAATAGAGTTAGCTCATCCTATCGCATTGTTACACTACACAGATTCCACAAAACATATGGAGATATACACCCCAATTTGCACATCAGCTCATGAATGTGTACCATTTCAAATACAGCACATGCACTATCCAATATATTGTTAAACGTAATATATCTATCAAATAACGATTTATATTTTAATCTGTAAAATACTTCATTAAATTATTTATAATCAATGACCTCCGAATTCCAATTTTTTTTATACACGCTCAAACGTATAGCTCAAGCTTTCAAACGTAAACTAAAAACTACGGATATTGCCACACCCTTTGAAAATCACTATTTAAACGAAACAGAACTAATAGTGTGTTTACATATAGCTGAAATTAAATTCTTAATTAACTCTGTTCGGTGTTTGCAGAAATTATGTTTGCTTAGTTACATGCAACTGATTTTTCAGCAATCAACTCTTTAGAACGCAGACAAGGCGTAAAAAAATGGCAGGGTGTCGCTGCTGACCCCTTACAATGCCTGGTTACTCTAGTATATTTTGATGCGTAAAACGTATTGTTCAATAATAATGTGTTGTCAGTAGCGACGTGTTTGTTGTACTTTTGACAAAATCGGCATGCCTATTTTCAGTGCTGCCGATCTTCATTTTTATACTACTATTCGTTGGGAAATAGTCTCAAAAATACTCCATTTTAGTATTTCGTTTTATCGCGATTTTTAAAGAACTTGGTATTTTCAGAACGATATTAATATTTAAAATTGCTAGATTTCTATAATTTGTGGCCTCAAAATATAAAATATATCGTGGTAATCAATGGAAAAAGACGTACACAAAAATCGAACGAAAGGCGATTTTTTTATATTAAATATCAGCATTGTCATAATATCGAGCCAAATGG